GATGATGATTTGGAACAAGGAAATACTAAGGGAACACATAGCCAACCAATGGAAATGGATGGAAAGGAAACGAGACGACTGGAAGAGAGGGAATTGCGGGATAGAGAGATAGAATTTGGTATGATCAAAGTACAAGAGGGAGTGAGAAACTTGATGAAAAATTACAAGGAGATTTTTGATGAGAAGTTGGGTTGTCTCCGAGATTATGAAGTGGATATCAAATTAAAGGAGGGATATGTGCCCAAGTTTTGTGCATTACGTCGGATACCGTTCGAATGGCGAAATGAAGTAGACAAGGAATTGGAGCAGTGGGTGCAGAAGGGCATTGTTTGTCCAGTGGAATATAGCGAATGGGCAACACCGTTAGTACCCGTGAAGAAGGCCAATGGAAAGCTTCGTTTATGCGCTGATTTTCGGGTCACGCTAAACCCGTGGGTTGTGGAGATAAAATATCCGTTACCTCGGATTGAAGAAATATTAGCTAATTTAAGGGGTAGCATATATTTTTCAAAGGTGGACTTTTCGAACGCTTATTTACAATTGAAGGTGAAACCCGAGGTACAAAAGCTATTAACGATCACGACTCCGAAGGGATTGTATGCCTTCTGTAGATTGCCGTTTGGACTTAGCGTGTCGGCTCCAATTTTTCAAAGAACGATGGCGGCAGTTTTTCAAGGACTAGAGGGAGTATTTTACTACATGGATGACGTATTAGTGATGGGAAAGACTCCCGAGCAACACGAACGAAGATTGGAGGAGGTGTTCAAAAGGATCAAGGATAAAGGATTGCGGGCAAGCGTTGAAAAAAGTGTGTTGGGAGTATCAGAAATCGTATATTTGGGGCATAAAATCAATGGGAAAGAGGTCAGACCTTTAGACAAAAATATGGCAAATATAACAAGCATGTTGAAGCCTAATAATAAAGTGGAAGTACAAGCTTTCTTGGGAATGGTGAATTATTATCACCGTTTTGTGGAAGGCTTCGCGCAGATAGCGGCGCCGTTGTATAAATTGTTAAAGAAAGGAGAAAGATTTGAATGGAAGATTGAACAGGAGGAGGCTTTTGAGGAGTTGAAATTGAGGATTGGAAGGGAACCAGTACTAGTATGTTTTGATAACGATGTGCCAGTGATATTGGCCGTTGATGCTTCAAATAGGGGTGTGGGTGGAGCGCTATTACATTGTATAGACGAATTGGAGAGACCTATTTTATTTTTCTCAAGAATCTTTAGAGAGGCCGAGACAAGATATTCAGTGATCGAACAAGAAGCGCTAGCGGTTATATTTGGATTGACTAAATGTCGGGAATACTTGATCGGACGTCGATTTGTCATATATACGGATCACAAGCCCTTGGTTCATCTTTTCAGAAAGGACAACAAGGAGCTCATGTTGTCGCCTAGGTTGCAGCGATGGCTATTGCTGGTAGGCAGTTTCGACGTGCAAGTGAAATACCGACGAGGAAGAGAAAATTACTTACCGGATATTCTTTCTAGATGTGGAGCGGGAGAGGATTGCGAAACGAGTAGGTCGAAAGATATGGATGAAGAGGATGAGCACGGGTTGATTAGAGCGATAGTCGGAATATCTAAAGGAGGACCAGTTGCATGGGAACAACTCAAAAATGCTACTTTAAAAGATCGCGAGTTGACGAGAATCAAAGCGTGCATATTGGGTCGGAAGCAATGGCGAGATGGGGACAAGAAGTTCAAGCAAGTGGAGAAAGAGCTAACGATAGTGGACGAGTGTGTGGTACGAGGAAGTCGGGGAGTGGTGCCGTCCAGATTGCGGGAGGCAGTAAAGACAATGATCCATGCTGGACATCAGGGTATGGAACGAATGAAACAATGGGGGCGGGAATACGTATGGTGGCCTGGCATGAATAAAGAAATCGAGAATATGGTGAGAAGTTGTGAAATGTGTAATTCATGGGCAAGTATGCCTCGAAAGGACAAGAAAAGTATTTGGCCTAGGGCTACTCAACCATGGGAAAGAGTACACTTAGACTTTTTCGACTTCGAAAATAAAATATATCTCCTCGTAGTGGACGCTTACTCAAAATGGGTAGAGTATCAAGAAGTAAAGGGGTTAACAACGCAAGTGGTAATTAAGACGTTAAAAGATCTTTGGGCAAAGTTTGGGGTAGCGGAAATAGTCGTGTCGGATGGAGGACCCGCTTTTATAAGTAAACAATTTAAAGTTTTTTGTACTGAAACTGGGGCGAGACACATTTTGGCACCTCCTTACCACCCAAGCTCGAATGGGCAGGCGGAAAGGATGGTGGCGGTGGTAAAGAGTTGGTTGAGGAAGTCGAAATATGGGGGTGGAGAGATTTGGATAGCGATTGCGTATTATAACAATAGTCGAAAGGGAGAGGAATTGTCCCCAGCAGAAAAGTTTTTGGGCCGTAGAACTCGTATTCAGTTGGATTTCTTAAGACCCAAACCGGCGCAGGAGGAAAATTCAATGGATAATCAGTGTGAATTTGTGAATGGTCAGACCGTATGGGCGAGAATTTTTGGAGGTACCCGAAAATGGGAGTCAGGAATAATTATACAGAACATGGGGCATAAAATGGTGAGAGTAAAATTCGTGGACGGAAAGGAAGGAGTTAGACACGTAGAACAGATACGGAAGAGAGTAGAGTCTGAAAGATTGAAATCTAGCCATGATGCGGCGAGGAGAGAGGGATAGATATCTTAGCAATTCTCGAGTTAAAGCACATAGAAAATAATAATACTAATAATGATAATTAACCCAAGATGATAATACCTCCGCAGTTCCGAGATTAAATCAAATTTAATTTAAAAAAAAAAATCGATAATGATAATTAACCCGAGATATTAATACCTCCAGCAATTACGGGATTACATCACATTTAATAGAAAATAAAATAAATATCAATGATATCAGTTAGTCAATGATTTCGTGATTCGGGGAATAAAGCGAGTATTTTTTTTTAAAAAAAAGGGGGAACTTAATTAGAGTGCCAATAAATGATGCACAAAAAGTTAAAAATGTTGGATATGTTAACCAAAGTAATAAATTAAAGTAAGGGATAATTTTGAGAGATGCCGGGATCGTAAATCAAAAGTTGGGAATAGAACTTGTATATAATTGGAGAATAGAATAAAAAGGAGTGACAATTGGACTAGGAAACAAATAAAAAGTGGTTCCAAGTTGGACTGAAACACGGAAAAAATTTCGGCAATGACAGTTGGAAGCGAGACACAAACAAGGAAGGTTCCAATAATTGGGCGTTAAAAGGGGAATTTTACAAATGCAAAATTAAAATTTTTTTTTGTATAATTGTTAATTTTGTTAAAGAAAATTTTCCTGTATTTATTCATTTTGACCCAAAAGAAAAGTGAGTGAAAACTGTTATTAATTTTTTTTTATATATTATACCTTTTCCTTAAAAAAGAATGTCGGGGAGGCATCGGTGCATATATTGGGAGAATTTAACCGTTAGGATAAGTATTTATCGAGGATATGTTAATGAGGATGGGCGACCGATCTCGCCTTTGAATTACCGAAGCATAATAGACCATTCGCCTCCAATACGCCGAAACAGTAGATCGCCCCCGGTCCAAAGGGGAGTGTCCGGAATAATAACGAACAATTTAGATCACTCCGAATTACCGGAGCCCCGGCACCTCAGCATGCGCTCGAGGAGGAGACGTTCTTGTTACTTGTGTGGTTCGCCTAGTCATTTGCGAATGCGGTGCCCCCGTGGGCCAAATCGTAGGCAAGACTTAAATGATAATAGGGAAACGACGAGCCACAGAAGCCGAAGCCCGGGAAGGAGCGACGCACGCCCAGTTAGGACCATTTTGCCGCCTTTGACGATAGGGGCAATGCCGCAACAAGATCCATCCATAACTGCGATGGGGCGACCGGTGGGGATTATTGAGCCGTTTCGAGAAGAAACGCCGGAGGCGAGTCCCAGGGCCTATTACGCTGAAGAGTGGCCGATGGTTGATTTGTCGGCCTCTGAGATTCAGGAATTGTTGGAGGATGTAATGGGACCAGAATAAATTTTACAAATTTTGTAATAATAAAACAATTTTTTTTTAAAATATCATTTTCCTTAATAGATTTTCGGGAAAAATACGATAAGATATTTTACATCATATATTTTTTTTTATTTATGTTAACATATGTAGAGAATAATAAATAATTACATTTTGATTTTATGTACAAAACCCCCTTGTTTATCTTTGTTAAACAACAATTTTAATTTTTTTTGTATGTTCAAGGGTTTTCATTTAATGGGGGCGTGTTATAAATAGTTTTATTATTTTCTTTGTATGAGTCATGAAATATTTTTTTTTTGTTTGAAATTTTATTTTTAATATTTTTTTTTAGTTTCGCGCAGTCATCTTGAACGTCATTATATAAATATTTTTTTGTTTGAAATTTTATTTTTAATATTTTTTTTTGTTTCGCGCAGTCATCTTGAACGTCATTATATAAATATTTTTAATATTTATTATGTAAAAAAAAAATAAATAATAATTTAATATTTATAAAAAAAATAATAATCTTATATAAACTAAAAAAAAGTGGAAATTCATTATTATTATCAATTATATTTTTTTATTGTTTTAAAGAAAAATAAAACCAATTTATTCAAAAAAAAAAAGGGGTAAAAAAATAAATAAATATACTGTTAAGTTAAACATTTCTGTACGGTGAAATTTTGAAACTGTAAACATTTTTTAAAAAATCGAACGCGTTCGCGTTCAACGTTCATTGACAAAAATCGAACGCGTTCACGTTCAAATTCAAAAAAAGGAACGCGTTCATGTTCATGAACGCGTTCAAAATTTTATGATAAATTTTTTTTTAAATTAAATTTAATATAAATAAATGCCTTATATTTTTCAACACAATATATTAGCCATGATAAAAAATAATAGTTTTATTTTGATAATATAATTATAAATACAATATAATAGCAATGACATATAATAATACCTAAACTGACAATTCATTCATAAAAAGTATGTATCAATTGAAATCAGCTGGAGACGCCATTAACACCATGATGAGTACATCGAAGATAATTTGTCTTAGAACCAATTCTTCATTTTCATTCTTACTATAAGTAATACCATGGTTATATTTATAATAATTATTTTACCCTCTAGTTCTTAATATCAAGAGTCCATTATTTATTTTAATTTTATATTTAATTAGCTACTGATACAATTTTATTAATCAAACATTAAGTTTTATCAAAAGTATTTTTATTTTCTTAATTAATAATATTTACATTAATTATAATAATATAGTCATACCTTATAAAATAGGTTTAAGCTCTTTGCTTGTAATATGCAGGTTAGCAATATAAGCAATTTTTATTCAAGTTTATTATCAATCTTATTTACTTTATGCAATATATATCTAAACTGAAGATTCCATATAAGAATATCTAATATTGTAATATTCATACTAAATTAAAATATTAGCTCTAAATTTTAAAATATCAAAAAATTTATAGGCTACCATAAAAAATTTTTCAAATGGTCAACCTAGTTTATAATTCTATAAAATAGGGAATAAAATTATATGAAATTATATAAAAATAGTAAAATATTTTTATTGATAATTAGAATACCAAACTTTATTCATATCATATAATAATAGCCTATTTATAAATATGATTTTATTTTTTTTATAAGAAAATAAATATAACTATAAAATAAATAAATATATTTTTAAATATTTAATAGATATTTTAATAAAAAATTTAAGTAGAGGGGGTAGAAGTAAAATTTTCAAGTAATCTCTATAAATTGTATAATTATTTTATAATAACTTTTTTTTCATTATAAAGATATCCAATATAATTATATGTTTATATAAATATAATAAAAACTTGTTCCAAATTTTTTTATCTATCTATCTGACCCATACCATATATTTTTATCTAATTGGCCACATATCCAAATTTTTTTATTTATTAATTGTTCAGCCTGGCCCAGTTTATTATAATTTTTGCTTTTCATGGCTTGGATAATTTTAATTTAATCTAAAATTTTGCCTAATAGGATCTTCTAAAGACTAAAGGTTTTTGATAGTGAAGATACTTTATACATACTAACTTCCAGAAAAAAAGATTTAAAGTTAGGTACATGAAGAGTTTTATAAACAAATAAATAAATGTATGTTTACCATGGCGGGAGGAAAGTGGTGCTTATGTTGCAGGGGGGGGGCTGAGAGATTTGGAGGGTGCAGGTAGTCTGATTTGATTTTTAGAAGCTTTTTTATTGAGCTTTTATTATTGTTTAGACGTATGAATTGTTCCATCGTCAGATTTAGGCTTATGATTTCTTTTATCGTTCTGTATAGCCAATATGACTTGTATTTACCGTATGTTTTACCTTCATGAGACTCGAGCCAGATTATAGCTTCATGGACTATGTTTTGTCTGAAGTTTCTGATGGTGTGACCAAAGAGTTGAATGTGCCTTTTTTTGAGAGTAGTCTCGATCGGGACGTTTTTTGAGATTCGCCATAGGCTGGCATTCGAAATTATTCTTGGATAGAAAATACCGTTGAGCTGGCGCAGACAGCGGTTTACGAAAACTTGTATTTTCTTTGTCTGAGATTTATTTATTTCCCAAGTGTCGCTGCCGTAGAGGAGGACTGGAATGACTGTGGCGTTAAAAATTCGGAGCCTTGTTTTGACTGAGATCTCTCTTGCTGTCCATAGTTTGTAATATTTCATAAAGGTTATTTTGGCGTTTTTTAGTCGGGCTTCGATTTCACCGCTGATATTTCCTTTATTATCAATAAGTACGCCAAGATATTTAAAATTGTTAACTATTTTAATTTCATTTCCCTCAAATGTTAAGTTATTTATAGACGCCTCTGGGGATGGCATAATAAAAGTTTTATTAAAGTTGATGGTTAAACCTACTTTGTTGCTATGGAAGTAAGTCTATTGTCTCATCTCTTGATTTGGTGATTAAAACTAGATCATCTGCGTATGAGATGATTCTTAGGTGATTGATATTATTATTGTTTGATGATATATCAACTAGGTTCATGGTGCTCGTGGTTTCCTTTATAATTTTGTTTATGATTATATTGAACAAAATAGGTGATAGTACACAGCCTTGTTTTACACCTCTTTTAATCTTGAAGTAAGGTGAGAAAGTTTGGCCTAGCTGTAATTTGGCCCAAGAGTTATTGTAATGGTACTTTAAAATTTTAATTATGTTTGGATCGATATTGCAATCTTCTAGAGCTTCCCAGAGGGCATTGTGTTTCACGTTGTCGAAGGCTTTGCTGTAGTCTATGAAAGTAAATATAAAAGGAAGTTTATATCTAAAACACTTCTGTAGATAGATTTTAAGAGCTAGGATGGGTTCATTGATGTTCTTATTTGGCCTGTATGCGCAAATATTACTTGACAGGAGGTTTTTGGTAGAATCAAGAATTCTGTTCTTCAGGAGCACCATGAACACCTTTGAGACTGTGGAGGTGAGAGCAATGGCCCTGTAGTCTGCGAAAGATGAAGGATGGAGTTTCTTGGGGAAGTTGCAGATTGTGGATTTATTCCAATCATCTGGGGTTTTGCCTGAATGCCATATTTTGGTGAATATGGCTAATAGATATTTAGAAATTCTCTCTGGAGCGGCTTTCATGTGTTCATTTCTGATCCCATCAGAGCCGGGTGCTCTATTGTTTTTTAGTTTGTTTATGGCTCTGTTAATTTCTGTGAGGGAGAAATCAGAGTGGGGTAATGGCAAGATTGTCTGTTGGGGGCTCACTATCTTGGAAGGGATCCTGGACTCAAAGGCTGACATATAGAAGTCTGTCCAGATGGCCATTTGCTCTTCAGGGTCTGTATATTTGTTACCTCCTTGTAAAGTAAGTATTGGTAATTTCTTAAACTTCCTATCCAATATCCATAGCTGGTTTGCAGATGTAAAGGCCATCCTAAACATAAATATATCAGATCACAAACTAATCAAAGCACATATAATAATACGAAGTGATGAATGGAGGAACAATAATACCAGGCGCATCCATAGCACAATACGTACAACGCCAGAACAACCTACCAAATGGCACTTCACTAACATTAACAAAACAGCCTATAATGAAACAATATGCTCAGGCCTAGCTATGATTATTCAGTTCTTCCCTACTAAACCATTAGAAGAATGTTGGTCAGACTTCAAAAGTGCGATTTTCCACGCCTACAATAACCTCAACCACAGCCAAATACCAAAAAGAGAATGGCTCTCAGCAAATACAAAAAACTTAATCCTATCGATAAAAAACGATAGCAGCCGCAATTTAGAACTATGGAAACGCATTCAGAGATTACTACGTAGCGATCGTAGGATTTTCTTAGCAAAGAGAGCGGAAGAAATAGAAATAGATATGAGGAACAACAAAACTCATGACGCCTACAAAAAGCTCAAACACTTCTGCAAACCAGCATGCTTTAAGAAATTACCAATACTTACTTTACAAGGAGGTAACAAATATACAGACCCTGAAGAGCAAATGGCCATCTGGACAGACTTCTATATGTCAGCCTTTGAGTCCAGGATCCCTTCCAAGATAGTGAGCCCCCAACAGACAATCTTGCCATTACCCCACTCTGATTTCTCCCTCACAGAAATTAACAGAGTCATAAACAAACTAAAAAACAATAGAGCACCCGGCTCTGATGGGATCAGAAATGAACACATGAAAGCCGCTCCAGAGAGCATTTCTAAATATCTATTAGCCATATTCACCAAAATATGGCATTCAGGCAAAACCCCAGATGATTGGAATAAATCCACAATCTGCAACTTCCCCAAGAAACTCCATCCTTCATCTTTCGCAGACTACAGGGCCATTGCTCTCACCTCCACAGTCTCAAAGGTGTTCATGGTGCTCCTGAAGAACAGAATTCTTGATTCTACCAAAAACCTCCTGTCAAGTAATATTTGCGCATACAGGCCAAATAAGAACATCAATGAACCCATCCTAGCTCTTAAAATTTATCTACAGAAGTGTTTTAGATATAAACTTCCTTTTATATTTACTTTCATAGACTACAGCAAAGCCTTCGACATCGTGAAACACAATGCCCTCTGGGAAGCTCTAGAAGATTGCAATATCGATCCAAACATAATTAAAATTTTGAAGTACCATTACAATAACTCTTGGGCCAAATTACAGCTAGGTAAATAAACTTTTTTATTATATAATATTTAACCTATTTATTGTCTCTATAATTTTTAAACTTTCTCACCTTACTTCAAGATTAAAAGAGGTGTAAAACAAGACTGTGTACTATCACCTATTTTGTTCAATATAATCATAAACAAAATTATAAAGGAAACCACGAGCACCATGAACCTAGTTGATATATCATCAAACAATAATAATATCAATCACCTAAGAATCATCTCATACGCAGATGATCTAGTTTTAATCACCAAATCAAGAGATGAGACAATAGACTTACTTACAAGTCTATGCTTTCATAGCAACAAAGTAGGTTTAACCATCAACTTTAATAAAACTTTTATTATGCCATCCCCAGAGGCGTCTATAAATAACTTAACATTTGAGGGAAATGAAATTAAAATAGTTAACAATTTTAAATATCTTGGCGTACTTATCGATAATAAAGGAAATATCAGCGGTGAAATCGAAGCCCGACTAAAAAACGCCAAAATAACCTTTATGAAATATTACAAACTATGGACAGCAAGAGAGATCTCAGTCAAAACAAGGCTCCGAATTTTTAACGCCACAGTCATTCCAGTCCTCCTCTACGGCAGCGACACTTGGGAAATAAATAAATCTCAGACAAAGAAAATACAAGTTTTCGTAAACCGCTGTCTGCGCCAGCTCAACGGTATTTTCTATCCAAGAATAATTTCGAATGCCAGCCTATGGCGAATCTCAAAAAACGTCCTGATCGAGACTACTCTCAAAAAATGGCACATTCAACTCTTTGGTCACACCATCAGAAACTTCAGACAAAACATAGTCCATGAAGCTATAATCTGGCTCGAGTCTCATGAAGGTAAAACATACGGTAAATACAAGTCATATTGGCTATACAGAACGATAAAAGAAATCATAAGCCTAAATCTGACGATGGAACAATTCATACGTCTAAACAATAATAAAAGCTCAATAAAAAAGCTTCTAAAAATCAAATCAGGCTACCTGCACCCTCCAAATCTCTCAGCCCCCCCTGCAGCATAAGCACCACTTTCCTCCCGCCATGGTAAACATACATTTATTTATTTGTTTATAAAACTCTTCATGTACCTAACCTTGATATAATTATCCAAAATATACTTAACTCACTAATCTAATATTCTTAAATAGTAAGGCAGATTTATTTAAAAAAATATATCATATTTATATTAAATAAACAAATTCAATATAGACCATAAACTTAAAATTTACCAATACCCCTCCCTATAATTTACATTTTACTTAATCGGGTACGGGCTTTTCTCTCTCTTCTTATTTCCCGTAGGCGTTTAAGCAAGTGGTTTCGCCTCTTGCGCGCACAGGTAACTGCAGCCTGCCAAAAAACTGTGGATGGGCTCATCTCATAGGTTACCCCCAAATTTCTTAACCCAATTAGATGGGATGAGATAGTCCAAGCGTAGCTCTGCTGTTTCATATAGCGATAAAGGGTAATTGCGCTTATTATGACGTATGACGTAATACCATGGTTATATTTATAATAATTATTTTACCCTCTAGTTCTTAATATCAAGAGTCCATTATTTATTTTAATTTTATATTTAATTAGCTACTGATACAATTTTATTAATCAAACATTAAGTTTTATCAAAAGTATTTTTATTTTCTTAATTAATAATATTTACATTAATTATAATAATATAGTCATACCTTATAAAATAGGTTTAAGCTCTTTGCTTGTAATATGCAGGTTAGCAATATAAGCAATTTTTATTCAAGTTTATTATCAATCTTATTTACTTTATGCAATATATATCTAAACTGAAGATTCCATATAAGAATATCTAATATTGTAATATTCATACTAAATTAAAATATTAGCTCTAAATTTTAAAATATCAAAAAATTTATAGGCTACCATAAAAAATTTTTCAAATGGTCAACCTAGTTTATAATTCTATAAAATAGGGAATAAAATTATATGAAATTATATAAAAATAGTAAAATATTTTTATTGATAATTAGAATACCAAACTTTATTCATATCATATAATAATAGCCTATTTATAAATATGATTTTATTTTTTTTATAAGAAAATAAATATAACTATAAAATAAATAAATATATTTTTAAATATTTAATAGATATTTTAATAAAAAATTTAAGTAGAGGGGGTAGAAGTAAAATTTTCAAGTAATCTCTATAAATTGAATAATTATTTTATAATAACTTTTTTTTCATTATAAAGATATCCAATATAATTATATGTTTATATAAATATAATAAAAACTTGTTCCAAATTTTTTTATCTATCTATCTGACCCATACCATATATTTTTATCTAATTGGCCACATATCCAAATTTTTTTATTTATTAATTGTTCAGCCTGGCCCAGTTTATTATAATTTTTGCTTTTCATGGCTTGGATAATTTTAATTTAATCTAAAATTTTGCCTAATAGGATCTTCTAAAGACTAAAGGTTTTTGATAGTGAAGATACTTTATACATACTAACTTCCAGAAAAAAAGATTTAAATTTATACATTTTGAATCCTCATTGATTTTACTTCATATGTATACATTTTTGAAAATTATTTTATGAACATTTCAGCTTGTTTTATATATGATTATATATTGTAAAGCTTATTTGATAAAAATTTTCATAAATTGTCTATATCTTCAATTCATAATTACAGATAATAATTCTCTTTTTTAATTTAAAGATAGATAGCTATGAGTCGCTGTACATCATGCAACAATAATAGCTATACAAGCTTAACTTCTAATAAAAAAAAATTATTTTCATAGGTTATTTCTTATAATATTCTTTTTTTATTTTAAGACATTAATATTATTTTTTTTAAGATTCCCTATTATGAATAAAATTTATCTTATTTATGGCTTTAATCCATTTTGATAGCAAAAAAATTTTATTCCAACCAAATACACCAAGCTCTGTGGAGCTCATTTTTCAGAAGAATGGTTTCTTCCCTCAGTTATAGGATATGCTATTCTGAAGGAAGGATCTGTACCATTCATTTTTAATTCCAGACCCTTTCAGGATGTATAATATATTTATTTTAAATTAATATTTTTTTAAGATAACAAATATCCCATTAAATAGATATAAAATTCTTAAAAGTTCTAACTTTATAGTAAAAAATGATTATACTTATGCTGCTAATAGTTACTCCTCAACTAAAAGGGTAAAATATTATTACTTTATAAAAGATCAATAAAAATATTATTTTTAATATTTAAGAGAAAATTAGATATCCTTAACAATACTCTAGAAGCTGAAGGCTTAGAAGAGCCTGTTAGAGATAATAGCCCAGTGAGCCTTATTTATTAAAATACTTTATTTTCATCTTTGAATATTTTGATTTTATGTGTATCAATATATAATTTTTATTATGCAAAAATATTTTATTTAAGAATACATCTGCCAGCTATCAAAATACTCTTGAAGATGAGTGTTTAGAGGAATCGGAAAGAGATGTAAACCATGTGAGTCTTTATTAAAATATTGATGTAATTTATTTATTTAATATTTTTGAATTTTTTGACTTTATAGATATCAATATATAATTTTTATTATGCAAAAATATTTTATTTAAGATTATATCTGCCAGCTATCAAAATACTCTTGAAGATGAGTGTTTAGAGGAATCAGAAGGAGATGTAAACCATGTAAGTCTTTATTAAAATATTGATGTAATTTATTTATTTAATAAATTTGAATATTTTGACTTTAAGGATATGGTCTTTCAACAAATATAAAAATGTGTCAATTACTTGGTGCCTCTTTGGACCCAAATAATTGTATCCTTATTTTCTTCATCCGAGCAATTATAAGGAAAAAGTTTATGTTATTTTGGACGTTTGCCATATGATGAAACTCCTTAGAAATCTACTCGGCGATAAAAAATTTTTAATCAATAATGGAGTAGTAATTACTTTTAAAATATTTCCTAAATGTTATTTTTACAAATAGGTAATAAATTGGAAATATATAGCAAACCTTCATGATTTACAGGATAAGGAAGGACTAAGGGCTGCAAATAAAATGGGCCGTTCTCATATTGATTATCATAAGCAGAAAATGAAAGTAAAATAAAAAGAATTTTTTACTTTTAAAATATTTTTAAAGGTTAAACTTGCCATTCAAGTTTTTAGTAGCTCAATACCAAAAGGTATTCTTTTAGCACATGAGCTAAAAATTGATGGGTTTGAAAACTGTGAAGGCACAGTAGACTTTATTCAAATGATTGATTGGTATTAAATAAATACCTTGATAATATTAATAATATTTTTATACAATGTTTGATTTTTTAAGTACTCGAAACATGTGCTAAAGGGTTTAAGGCCCCACTATCTAAAAGATCTCTTCCATATTATGAAGATTATTTTGAAAAATGTATCAATACTCTTAAAGCTTTAAAGTTTGAAGATGGTATATATGTATATGAATCAAATAGAAAAACATGCATTATAGGGTTAATAGCATCAATGAAGAATATTCTGGATATTAAGAATGAATTATTATTGGGACCTAATCCCAAACTCAAGTAGTTTATATATTTTTCTTATTTATTTTCATATATTTTTATACCTCTTAATACTAACCATAATTATTATTAATTTTTTTTTCTTTTCTTATTTTAGTTATGTTTTAACCTACAAAACATCACAAGATCATCTTGAACTATTTTTTAGTTGTTTACGCAGCAGAGGAGGTTTTAACAATAATCCTTCTACTTATCAATTACGATCGGCCATAAGAGATGTCTTGGTAGCAAAACTAGAAGTGATAACAACAGGTAATTGTATTCCAATCGATAATATTAATCTAATTTGTGGAGATTTTCAGAAAAATGCTGACAATAACAACCATATTAATCTTTATGAAAATTCGTTAACATTTGTTCCTAATATTGCGACATTATCACTCTACCTTGAAAATGTATCAACCTATATAGCAGGGTATATAATACACATAATATCTGAAAAAAAAGTAACATGTTATACATGCATAACAGGTATGATGGATTATCAAAATCATAAAAATAGTGATGCTTATAATTTGATAAAAATAAAAAACAATCAGGTGTTAATAATTCCTTCTAAGAGTGTTTCAATATTATGCCAAATTTCTGAAAGTGCATTCCATGTTTTTGAAAAATCATTGCTAATAAATAAAAAATTTATTTTCAAAAGGATTGTATCATTTATTCTTTTTAAAGCACATCAAACAAATATTTTTGATGAACTTATTGATCATATGCTTAATCAAGAAGCACTATTCTCCCATTATCAAATTCTAATTACATTAATAATTGAACATTATTTGCACATTCTATTTCATCATTATGGTAATAATCTAAATAGAAAATCGAATATCAATATTTGTCAGAAATTGACCAAAACAATTTTATTTAATGGCCAATGAATAAATTGTATAGTGTGTCTGAATTAAGATTCCTTTTTTTAAATTTAATATTGTTGATTTATATCATGATCATATATTTTTAAATGTTGATATTATATTTTATTAAGAAAATTTATTATATCTTATAAAATATTTATAAATTTTCTGTTCATTCTTACACATTTTTAATTAGGTTATGCTTATGATTTTGTAAGAAATACATATGAGAATATGTTAAAATAAATAAATACTGATACGAACACATAATAATAAAAGCCATATTAGAAAATGAAACCAATTTTAAAAAATAAAATATTACAAACAAGGAATGATAAAAACAATAAATAAAATAAAACTAATTTGAAAATTAATACCAAGAGATAAGATTATATATGGGAATAGGATATCCGAGATAAGATTATATATGGGAATAGGATATCCGAGATAAGATTATATATGGGAATAGGATATCCTTTTAAAAGTAAAAATATTTTAAACATTCTCAATAACTGCGATAGGGTTGCTAAATGTTAAGGTTTAATAGTTATTAAGATCTAATCATATAACTCCATAAAATATTAAATTCATAAGGTTTTTTTTTAATTATAATAAATATTATGAATAATATAAAAATCATTTTAATCATAAAAATTAAAAACTTTATTATATATTATATATATTTTTTTAAAATATACAAGATTTATTATTATTATATAAGTAATAATAATTGATAGGATATTTTTGAAGTTATTGCATTATTTTATAATAATAATATGTTGCCATAAGAAATAAAGCTTTGCTAGTTCAGATATAAATTCAGAATGTTCTATTCCATTTCCAAAATCTATACATCCATGAAACTCATTTTTATACCAATGAATAAGTCGCTGTATAGACATCCAAGGCTTAAAATAATTGTACATGTGAATTGGATTGAATTGTTAATCCTTTTGGAGGAAGAATCGAATCTAAAAAACCTAAAATAAAATAATTTTAAAGTTATAAAAATAAGTTTATTTCTAACCTAGCCTTATTTGTATTTGTTGACTCCAAATTCTTAAGAATTATAAAACATCCTACTGAGCAAAATTTTAAAACTAATTAAAATAATCCAGCCATGCAAAGCAAAGAATTGGGCCAGGCACAAGTTCATAAGTAAATAAAACTCTTAATTTCTTTTTTATAAATCTAAATGTAATTTATATGGAACCCACAAAATTGTGACAGTTGATATTCTTATATGGAATCTTCAGTTTAGATATATATGATTGCATAAAATAAATAAGATACCTAATAAACTTGAATAAAAATTTTTGATATTGCTATAATGTAAATTTTATAAATTAAGAAAATAAAAATAAAAGCTTTTGATAAAATATAATGTTTGATTAATAAAATTGTATCAGTAGTAAATTAAAATGATAATAAAAATAATTAC